TTTTTTTTTTTTTTTTTTTTTTTAATATTTGATTATCAATTTTATCTTCTTTTTGGAGCGAGCGAGCGAGCGAGCGAATCTTTGCATATCTTTTAGCACTACACGATTGGCCAGTTCGATTGTGTGTAGTTGTGGATGTTTTCTGAGGTCCTTTTTTTTTTGGTTTGGATTTGTCCTTATCCTTGAAAGTGAAACTTCAGTGAAACTTCAGAGAAAACTCAAGCGAAATTTCATTGTAGTAGGTTCATCCTTATCCTTGTTGTCCTGAACAGAGGTCGAGTGAAATTTTGATCGCGGCCAGTGTAAGTTCAATGAAACTTCAGCGTAACTTCATCCTTATCCTTATGATCCTGAACAGAGATCGATTGAAATTTGATCGCGGCCACTGTATCTTCAGAGAAGCTACAGTGTAACTTCATCCTTGTCCTTATTGTCATCCTGAATAGAGATCGATTGAAATTTGATCGCGGCCTCGGCTTTTAATAGTCGATGGAAGTTTCGCTGAACTGTCGTTGAAGTATCGTTGGTTTTCCAGCAGGTTTATAATCCTGATGAAGTGTAGACTTTATCTGGATTATATGAGGATTATTACGATTAAGTGGATAAGGTGTGGATACTTCTTTTTTTTTCCCCTTTTTTCTTTTTCATTCTTCGTTTTTTTTTTTTCTTTCTGATAAGCTTTTGATAGAGTGATTAAAGATTTTTTTTTGTCGTTGGGTAGGAGAGAGGGGGGGGGGGGAGGAATGCGTTGCTGCTGGTGTGGGAGTGATTGGTTTGGTTGATTTTTGTGCGTAGAAGCGGCGTTTGCTCTTCTTCGCTTGTTCTCCATGGGAGAGAGAGGTGGTTTGTTTGGCAAGCGGGTCATGGTGGAGTAGCGGCTTTGCGATGGAAGGGAGGAGCAATTGCGATAACGGCGCGCAGTGGAGATGGACGACGCTTGAGGAATTGTTGTTGACGGATGCGGTCCGACGCTATGGCTCTGCCAATTGGTCGGTGATATCCATGGAGTTGAGGGGACGAGCAAGGCAGATGGGTGGACGAAGCGAATCTTCGCTGAACCGTCTGTCTCCAGAAGTCTGCTGCACAAAGTTTGACGAGTTGAAAAGATGTTTCAAGAAGAAGAAGAAGAAGAAGAAGAAGAAGAAGAAGAAGGAGAACGAAACAGCAACGAAAATTCATCGAGTCAAGAGCGACAATTCCCGTAATACCAACCCCGAGAATAATAACAGCAATAATAATAATAATAATAATAATAATAATAATAATAATAATAATAATAAAAGTAATAATAATGATAATAATAGTAATTGTAATACATCGAAGATTAACAAGAGGAAGAGTAGGAGTAGGTGTGATCGTAGTGAAGAGACGGGGGGTAGAGTGTTGTCCTCCTCCCCCACGGAAGTAACAGGGGGGAATGAGGATGAGGAGAGGGAGAGAGAGGGGTTGCAGAATGGTATCAAGGAGGGTGGTGAAGAAGAAGAAGAAGAGGATGATGGTGATGATGATGGCGATGGTGATTGTGAGGAGGAGGAGGAGAAGACGGAAAAAGAAGGGGAGGAAGAGGAAGGAGAGGGAGAGGGAGGGTCGTGGGATAAGAATTTAGTGGAGTTGATTGAGCAGGAGCTGAGGCAAAAGCGTTGCGCTGAGCTGAAGAGGGAGCTGGAGCGTCGGGATGGTTGGATTGACGATCTGAAGATGAAGATAATGAGGCTGAAACGGGATCGCAAGGTTGATTGCCCATCAAGAGGAGCTCGATCGATGGTGGCTGACAAGCAAGAGAAGGGGAAGGATTGCTTGAAGTCCGGAGTAGGGGGAGGGGAGGGTTTGTCGGAGAGGCTTTTGAAGTCGCGTGCCGCTGGTACGGGATTGGCCAGCGACGGCCAGCGACGGGCAGAGAAGGATAAGATCGGGGAAAAACAGCAGCGGGGAGATGAGTGGGAAGGGGAGCGGCAGGAGGTGGGGGAGGGGGGGGAGGGGGGGGGGGGGGGGGGKGGGGTGAGGTCCAAGAGTCCTCAGCGGCCAAGGGGAAAGAGCAGCGGCCTTGGTTCTTCGTCGACTGGTCATGATCGATATGGTTTCATACAACGAGATCGGGAGGGGGAAGGAGGAGGAGGAGGAGGAGGAGGAGATGGGGAAGGGGAGAGGGAGAGAGATGAGGGATCGAAAGAAGCAGGGGGAGGGGACGAAGGAGGAAGTGGAGTGGGCGAAAGAGCGACAGGAACAGAAGAGGGAGGAGGAGGAGGAGGAGGAGGCAAAGGAGGACAAACGGGAGGACATGAGGGTGGAGGAGGAGGAGGAGGAGGAGGCAAAGGAGGACAAACAGGAGGACATGAGGGTGGAGGAGGAGGAGGAGGAGATGGATTGGCGATATATGGAGGAGTGTTGATAGGAGGGGAGGGACAAGGGGGGGGGGAGGGAGCAGGCGAAGGAGGAGGTGGAGGAAGGCGGGGGGATTACGCAGCCGCAGAAGGTTTTGCCAATGATGTGGATGGTCGATCTGTTCGGCGCGCAGCAGTTGAGGGTGTTCGTCCTCGGTCAGACGAGAGGGACGGGGTCGTGCAGCTGCCCGTGGGAAGAGAGATTAAGCGCGCCGAGCAACTGGCCAGCGGAACAGGGGGGAGGGCCTCGCCCCTGTGCGCCGAGTCGAAGGCGGAGTTGAGGGGGAACGGCCTCCGCTTGCCTGTGGTCACCAGCGCCGCCTCGCAGTCGCCGCCAGGTAGAATCGGCGATCCCGATGGTAGTAGCCAAGGAACACCGGTCGTCTCTGTTTCGTGCAAGGAGAGCGTGCCACGTGGTGAAGGAGTTGAAGAAGAAGGCGACGGCCGATCAGGCGGAGGTGGTCGTAGTGGACCTACACCTGCTACCGGTAGTGCGTCGTCGTTCCAAAGAAAGCTGCGTTTAAGATTGAGGCGAGGGAATGCGGGAGCGATTTGCGCCGGTCATTATCACGGTCGGGATATCTCATCATCTTGTGCTGACGGGGCGAAGAACTCGAGTCCCGACGGACCGGATACGACGGATCGCGGTCGCCTAGCTGGTGCTGACCTGGCAGACGATTGGGATCCCGCTGGCGGGCTTCGTCCTGCACCGCACGATCTTGCCAGCGCGGCAGGTCGCGACTCGAGGCCGCCTCTCTTTGGCGGCGAGGAAAGCGCACGGCCTATGAATGAAATCGCCGGCGCTGCGCGCCGTGGGGTCATCGGGAGCGGTGCTGCTGGTCCTTCTGACATCATCACGCTGGATTCTGCCACGTGTCACTCGGCTGCTGTCTCTGGCGAGCGATTGGGTGATGGTGCTGGTGGTCAACCAGAGAGGAAGGCTGATCTGACGGGTTGTGGTGATGATGGCCGCAAGGTCAACGATGACGAGGCGGCGACTAATTATCGTCCGTTGGATCATCCGCATCGTCTTACGGAGATCGTCCACGTGGCAGACCATGTGACGGCTCGCCCCCTTGTTAGTAGTCATCAAGTGCTTGCGCGGAGGACCAAGGGTACCACCACCATGCCGGCTCCTGATCGGTATCCAGTTCTGGCCTCGGACTCTATCATCGGATGCCTTCCTCCTTGTCCTACTGCGTGTGCGAAGAAACACGTGGGTGGGGGCGACGTGGCTAATCGGTGTGCTGACGTGGACACATGCGGCCGCGACGTGACGTGTCGTCGTGCTGATGTGGCCGGCTGTCATGAGATTGCCGGCCGTGCTGACGTGGCGGTCGGATTCGCTGCTGAGGGTGCGGGCAGTGCTGACGTGGCCGATCGGATCGATTATATCGTGACTGATCGTGCTGACGTGGCCGTTCGTCGTAGTGTTCTTGCCAGCGAGGTGTCGGGTGCAGACGAGGTCGGTCGCGATGATGGTGTTAACGTGAGCGATGATCGGGACGCTGACGTGGCACGTCGTCGTCCGAACGTCTCCGATCGAAGGGTGGTTGTGTCTAGCTGGCGTCGTGGAGGTGGGCCAGGGCCTCGGAGAGCTGACGTGGCGGCCGGAGGTCATAGACGTGAACTCGTATCCGGCAGCAGACGCGGCGACGGGGAGTATCATCGGAGTCACGACGTGGCCGGTCGTGGTCCCGATGTCTCCGCCAGGGAGGGAGAGGGAGAGGGAGATGACGTGCAGGCGGCGGCGGCGGCCAATCATAGTGGGAACCAGTCTGGTGGCATTGCTGACGTTGATGCTAGTGGTCCTGGTATTGCTATTTTTGGTATCAACAGTACGGACGAGTCAGATTATTCGGAGTCGGGACCTGTCGCGACCGCTATCGCCGCGGAGGATCCGCCACGTCAGCACCGCAACTGCGGCGGCAGCAAGGCGAAGACTGCTGCGCGCCGAGCGATTTCGAATAGGACACGTGGATCGTCCACGTGGCGGGATTCTGATGCAGCTGCTGACGTGGCGGCAGCAGAGCGCGGGCCGGATGATACAGCTGCTGGCGCTTTGGCGATGGGACGGGGGTTCTCCGACGCTGATGTAGCAGATTGCCCTTCGGCGGCTGCAGGGCTATCAACCCCCCTGACCGCGGCAACAAGCGTGTCAGATGCTGACGTGGAAAAAGATGTACCGAGTAGCAATCGAACTCTCGTGGATAGATGTGCTTTCGCCGACGATGCGAGGGACTCGCGGATTGTCGTGCACGTGGCCACCAGCTGCTCACGAGGCCGCTCGGCTGACGGCCACGTGGATGTCTCAGACGGCGATCGTTTCATACGATCAATGGATATCGTGCCGTCGGGTCGTTTGCGCAGTTGCTCCCGTTGTCCCGATACCGACAAGGTGGTGGTGGTCGTCCCAGGCCAAAATGGAGAAGGGGGAGGATCCGAGGCTGTCGGGACGGACGATTTGCCGAGGATTGGACACGTGTCGATTCCTCCTGATTGCCGCGTGTCAAGTCCTGTTTGCGAACGTGCTGACGTGGACGTTAGTCGACGAATGCTTTCGGAGAGAGCTTCTCGTGAGGATGTCACGTGTCCATCTGCAGGTGATGCCCACGTGACGGGTGATGATCGCGTTGCGGAGGCGGGGGGGGCCGATGCGGCGCTCGTAGTGTCCGGATCGCGGCGCGAAGCAGATAAGCCGGCTGACGCTCTCATGGCGGCCGCCGGTTGGGATCCCGGCGCGGATGACCTTTTAGCCGCGACCGTGTGCCACGTGGATGATCATGCTTCGGGAAGGATGAAGTCACCGTGTTGTGTGATGACAGGTACTTCTGGCGCGGAAGATGGGAAGATTGAACTGGTCCCGCGGCCGCGTCGCAATCACTGCGCCGACAAGCTTTGCAACGCGGGGCGGGCTTATCGTTGCGATCCCGATCGCTATCGTGCGATCCCGATCCCGATCCCGAACGTAGATGGAAGTAGTGGTGTGCGTCCTCCAAGCAGCGATGATAGAGGCAGCAAGATTGTGGTGGCAATGGATAAGGAATCGGATAAGGAGAAGATCGAGAATCGTTGGGGAGCATCTATAAATAGCGAGAAGCAAAGAGGAGGAGGAGGAGGAGGAGGTAGAAGTAAAGATGTGGTGTTGATGAGATCCGAGGGGGTATCGAGAGAGGAGGAAAGTTACGTGGATGCTGTGCGGCAATTATATGATGTGTACAATTCGGGGGAATCTTCTGCCAAGTGTGCTACTGATCGACACGTGTCCTCTTCCGATGATGAGGAAGGTTTATCCGTACATGCTCAGCAGTGTACAACTGCGCGCCACGTGTCTTCTTGTTCCGATGGAGAGGCATTGTCACGGCTACCCGGTGCGGAGGTTCTTGCCGCTTCGACGTCCTCTCGATTGACAATCAGCAGGGTGGAGGTGTGCGGGGGGGAGCGGAGGAAAGAGTACGACAAGTTGCGCCGCTGCTGCTTTAATGGGGTTATCAGCGAGGCTCGTGAGAGAGAGGAGGGGGAGGTGGTGGAAAAGTTTACTATGGACGACAGCAAAAAAGCCGTGCTGGAGAACGGCAATGAAGTCGGAGGATCTGGAGGGAGAAGCTGCTGCGAAGATAGCAGCGATCAGATGAGAGGAGGAGGAAGGGGAGCAGAGTGTCTGGTCCCCGACATCCGGGCCTCGGTAATGACGAGAACGACAGATGTCCGACAAGAGGTCCACCAAGAGGTCCACCAAGAGGTCCACCAAGAGGTTCAGCAGCAAGAGGTCCAGCAAGAGGTTCAGCAGGAAGAGGTTTGGCAGGAAGAAGATCGAGATGGAAAAGAGCAAGAAGGGGGGAGTAAGGGGGTTGGGGTTGATGTCAACGAGAAATCTTGGGAAGGAGCAAATGGAAATGATGGAGGCAGACGGAGAGAAGAGGAGGATGTGGATATGGATATGGATACAATGAAGCATGGAGATAAGGATGAGTGGGCGGACAAAACTACGGATGCTGACGTGGTCAGGAAGAACTGTGATCGTATCGGTGGCAAGTGGAAGGAGAAGGATTTGGCGGGAAAAGGCAAGGATTTGGCGGGAAAAGGCAAGGATTTGGTGGGAAAGGGCTCGGCGTCTGAACATTTGGAGTCCTCGGGCAGGGATGAAAGCGCGCGCAGAGCAGAGGATGACCGTTCGCGAGGGGACTTTCTTCGGGGGGGCAGAGAGAAGGATGATAAGGATGGAGGGGGGGAGGAGGGTAGTAGCCCTCTGCGAGGAGGGGAGGAAGGGCGAGTAACGGGGAGGAGGATAGCCCTCCTTCGGGAGGAGGGGAATGATGATATCAGCGACGGAGGAGGAGGAGGTGGTTTGGAGACGTATGTGAACAGGCAGAGGATTGGGGGGAAGGTGGAGGAGGAGGGGAGGAAGGGGGAGTGCGTGGAAGGGGATCGTGCTTCTGCTTGTCACAGTCGCACTTCAAGACTTACGCGAGGTCGAGAAGAGGAGGAAGGGAGGTCTAGGCGGCAGCAGGACGTGGAAGAGGTGGTAGAATACGCGGTCGGCGATGGAGTCGAGATCCAGCAGACCCTAAGGGATCTCCCCACTGGGATCCCGATCGGCGTAACGATTGCCACGTGTCCGCTGGTTAGCGAGGGAACAAGCCGGATGGCCTGCGCGGATGTCCGGATCCCATCGACGGCGGAGATCTGCACCATAGCCGACGCGGCTCCTAGAGAGGGTGGGGAGCATTCTGTGCAGAAGGGATCGGGATCGAGGGTCGGGATTGGGAGGAGGCGTGAGCGCTCCAGCAGTCTCTCATGTGCGGCGATGGACTTCTCTCTTCCTGGAGGTGAAGGGATGGGGATCGAGGGTCGGGATATCGAGGAGGAGAAGGAGGGGGAGGGGGTAGACGACCTCCCCCCGGTAGAGAGAATGGAAACGAAGGGTGGGAAGGGTGAGGACCACCACATGCAGAAGAAGTGCAGCGCGGGCCAAACGGGCATCATCGTCGCGGGTGAAGAGAAGCAGCAGGAGGAGAAGCCGTCGGCCGTTGAACCGAGAGGTGGTGGCAACCCTGGTGTCTCGGAGAGGGGGTTGGATTTGGGAGAGATAGGAGGTGCTGCGTGTTCGTTTGTAGGAGATGGAGAGATTGGGAGAGAGAGAGAAGGAGAAGGATTGCCCGAAGCTGTGGGCTATGGTAGCCATGTCGGAACGGAATTGACGAGAGGAGAGAGAGGAAGAGGAGGAGGAGGAGGAGGAGGAGGAGGAGGTACTTCGCAGGATCTGCGCATGGAGCGTGAAGGTCGCTTACAGCGATGCCGCCGTGGGGGTGGGGATGATGAGGCAATCAAGGTCGATGATGGGGAGAGAAAGGCGGGCGGGAGATCTGTCGGGGACCAATTAAGAGCGCATGAGGGAGGTTTGTCCAGTGACGATGGCGACAGGAGCAGCCGCGACCGGTTGAGGATGATTGTGCCGGGATCGGGATCCAGAGAGGTAGAAGGCTACTCCGGGGGGAACGAGGATTGCAGTGACGGGTTTGTAGATCAAGGGGGAGAGTCGTTAGCACGGCCGGCAGAGGAGAGAGAGGAGAGAGAGGAGAGAGAGGGGAGAGAGGGCATTTCTGTAAATGGCCGGGTGAAGAGCGGGCTCGTCCTCGATCGTGAGGAGAGAAGGGGGCAATTGGAGAAGAAGAGGGAGGTGGAGGGTAATGGGAGGTCGGGATCTCGAGATGAGTCATCATCGAAGGGATCGATGGAGGCGGGAAAGGAGGAGAAGATGGCGGGAGAAGTGGGTGGGCGGCGATTGACGTTATCTGGCTTGATCGAGTGGAGCAGGAAGGGGGAGGGGGAGGGTCATGGAGGGAAGGAAGGGAAGATGGAGAGGGCGAGTAGTGCTTTGTTGCCAGAGACAAGTCCAGAGATCAAGGCCAAGGAGTCCGCCGCGGCGGCGGCGGCGGAGGAGGAGGAGGAGGAGGAGGGAAAGAAAGCAAGGTGTGTGGAGGAGGGGGTTGTGCAGTTGGATGATATGATGGATGATAAGAAGGACGATGACGTGGAGGTCGAGCTGAGCGAGGGAGAGAACGGGGCGGCAATTGGGAGATCCGGGTGGTTGGTGCTCGAAGCAGAGGAGACAGAGGAGACAGAGGAATGTATGGGCGTCGAGGAAATGGGGAATGAGGAGGAGGATGAGCAAGGGGTGAGTCGAGACGGAGAGGAACACGCGAGAATGGCCAAAGAGATCGAAATAGGTATGCGCAAAGAAGTTGTCAGTCTGCAACAGACTGAGGAGGGGGGGAGTCGGAAAAAGACAAAGGACATGGCGATTGAGGCAGGTGGAGGGGAGAATGGGGAGACTTGCAAAAAGGAGGAGGAGGAGGAGGAGGAATATACGATCCCTCCTCCCGAGTTCAGAGCAAGTCTTTCGACGTTGGATGTTGGAAAAAAGAGACTGGAGGAGGAGAGCGTAGGTGGTCGGAGAAGATTTCAAAGAGTATTGGCGGAGGAGGAGGAGGGGGAGGGGGAGGGGGAGGGGAAGAGGGAGGAAAGGAAAGGTGAGAAGTCTCTGGACGTGAATTCCGTCCAAGTGCAGTCGAAGGATGAAGGCGATCTTGGAGATGGATGCCCCCTTGCCCAGAATGAAGGATTGCATCATCATTGTTGGCATGATGGAGGCGAGAGGAAGAGAGCATGGGGAGAGAGAGAGGGTGAAGGCGATCGTGGAGATGGATGCCCCCTTCCCCAGAATGAAGGATTGCATCATCATCGTTGGCATGATGGAGGCGAGAGGAAGAGAGCATGGGGAGAGAGAGAGGGTGGTGGTGATCCCGGAGATGGATGCCCCCTTGCCCAGATTGAAGGATTGCATCATCATCGGTGGCATGATGGAGGCGAGAGGAAGAGAGAAAGGGGAGAGAGAGAGGGTGATGGTGATCTACAAGGTCATGGTATAAGAGTTAAAGGGACTGCAGTTTGGCGCGTGAAGGGGGAACAACCAGATCTTGCCAACGATAAGAGGGTGGCTATGGCCATGGCGATGATCCATCAGCGGGAGACGGGTGTGGAGGTGGTTGATTGTGAGAAGACCCTACACGCGCATGATGATGAGGAAGAGGGAGGATTGGATACGGCTCATGAGGCTGATGAGCAGGGGGGAGGAGGGGTGAGCAAAGCTGCCGGTGGGGGCAGAGAGAAAGAAGGGGTGGTGGTCCTCCGCGCTCACTCCTCGTCCTCGCAGGTGCTGACGTCAAGAGGTATTGTGATGTGCGAGTTTGGAGAAGAAGACGATCGGGATCGGGATGTGGGGGTGAAGGGAGATGGAAATTCTGGAGGGGAAGAGTGCCTCTTGGAGTGGATGAAAGGTGATGGGGACTTTGGCGGGAAAAGGGACTCGGAGAGTGCGGCGGATGATGATGAGCGTTTTGGCGGGAAAAGGGACTCGAAGAGTGCGGCGGATCATGATGTGCGTTTTGGCGGGAAAAGGGACTCGGAGAGTGCAGTGGATGATGATGAGCGTTTTGGCGGGAAAAGCGTTTCGAAGGCGAAGAGAGGCGAGGGGGTTGGCGGGAAGGGGGTTGTAGTGCGTCTGGGAGATGAGGCGGGGTCTTTTGGCGGGAAAGAGGCCGACGACTCTGTGAATCACCGGGCCCTTAGGATGGGCAAGGAGCTTGCCGATGAAGGAATGGTAGCTTCGCGGGACCAGGGGGGGGCTAATCGGGATCGGGATGACGGAGTCAGGGGGTTAGTAGGAGGAGCATCTCTGGAGGAGGGTGAGAGGAGCGATCTCGACAATGCATCCAAGTGCAATGCACCTAAAGAGAACCTCAAGGACGAGAAGGGAGAGGAGGAGGAGGAGGAGGAGGAGGAGGAGGAGGAGGGAAGGCCGAGGGAGAGGTGCAGCGGTCTTGTGAAGATGTATGAGGAGAAAAGAGGAAGGGGAGTCTTTGATGGGAGGGAGCAGGAGGATGCGGAGGGCATTGCGGCGAATTCGTCCGACGAGAAGGACGATAATGGGAAGGAGAAGACGAACGTAGGCGCAAAGGTCGTAGGTAGGAGAGGCGTGGAAGGGGGAGGAGAGCAGATTGATATCACCGTTGATGATCCTGATCCGTCGTCGGCTATGGGCTTCGTGGCGGGGACCAGTGGGGAGGAGGACGATCAACGCTCTGCTGTTTCCGAGGCGGCGGGCGTCGTGACGGAAGAGATGAAGATAGGTGGAGGGGGCGGTGTGAAGGGGATGGAAGGTGATGTCTTGGGCGGGGAAATGGACTTGGAGGGGTGGGTAGATGGTTGTTTTGGCGGGAAAAACGTTTCGAGCGCAAAGAATGGAGGTCTTGTTGATGGCGGGAAGGAGTCGTTGGACATGTCTAGGAGAGTGATGGTGGAGGAGGAAGGGGGTGTGGATGATTATCAGCGGAAGGCGTTGATTAGAGTGAAAGGAAGGAAGACGGGGGCTCGTAAAATGGTGATGGGAAAGGACAGCGAAGGGAAGGAGGTGGTAGTAATTGAGGAGAGGGAGAAGATTGTTGGGAAGAAGGTTAAAGAGGAGGAGCAGGGGGCGAAGGCTGGAGTAAAGGCAGGAAAGGTTGAGGGAAAGGAGGAGGAGGAGGAGGAGGAGGAGGAGCAGGGAAGAACGGTTGGAGCCAAGGCAGCAGCGGATGGGGAAGGGGAGGAAGGGAGGAGGGCCAGGAGGATGGGTGAAACGAATATGAAAGAAGAAGAAGAGGAGAGGGAGAGGGAAAGCGTTGCAGGGCGCGGACAAGAGAAGGAAGAGAGCGGGAAGAGGGTTGGAACAAGCAGGAAAGAGGAGGAGAGGTGGATGGATGAAGAGAATGCAATGGAGAAGGGGACGGATTGGGAGAATGGAGGGGTAGGTCGGAACGTGTCCAGGGGAGGTGTCACCACCGGGAAGAGGGGTACGGGCCAGTTGTTGGTCAATGCAGAGGAGGGAGAAGAAGAGGGCGGTGGGAGAGAGAAGAAAGGGGTGGAGTGTGGAAACGAGGAGGCGATGGAGTTTTGTGCTTCTCATCATGACGGCGACGATGACAAAGTGAAGGATGGAGAGGAGCAGGACGGGTGTGCGGATCGATCTATGGAGGAGAGGGGCTCTGTGAAGGGTGCGCAAAGCGAGATTTTGAATAGCAATGCCACGATGATGAAGGACGGGTGTGCGAATCGATCTATGGAGGAGAGGGGCGCTGCGAAGGGTGGGCAAAGCGAGATTCTGAATAGCAATGCGACGATGATCAAAGACGGGGGGCCATGTGCGATGGAGCTGCAGCTAGCGGAGGGAGGAGGAGGAGGAGGAGAAGAAGGAGGGGGATCCGAGGTCACGGATCGGCAGAAGGTTGTCTGCACAACGATGATTGCAGACGGCGGAGGCAGCAGGGAAGACGGGATGTCTATCTTTGGTAATGAGAGAGCCACCACCCGTGCGGCAGGGAGCTGGACAGGGGAGGGCGAGGCTAGCGCTGGAAGTAATGGGGGTAAAGTTTTGAAGAAGCGTAAAGCGAGTGGCTATGGAAGATTGGGCTCAAGGAGGGGAAAGAAGGTTCGTGAGAATCGCAAAAAGGGGGGTGATGGAGGAAGAGATCAAGGAGGAGATGGTGAAAGAGGAGGAGGAGGAAGAAGAAGAGGGGGAGCAGGGTTGAGTTGGGACAAAGGGCAGCAGCCAGGGGAGAGTGAGCGGGGGAGCGAAGTGTGGGCTCGAACGGAAGGGGAGGAAAACCAGTCTCCACCTCCCAAGAGGTCTAGGAGAGAGCCCAAGGTCAGCGGAAGATTGCTACCCCTTGTGGAGGTGCTTAGGGGAATCAGTTCCCACAAATTTGCGTCCCTGTTTAGACACCATCCTGATAGCAGAGAGCATCCGAAGTACGACGATCTGGTCCGGCAACACGTGGACTTGACGATGGTGAGATCCCGACTGGAAGGGGGAATTTACAAAAATAGCATGGAATTCTATCGTGATCTGCTGTTGATATTCAACAACGCCCTTGTGTACTACCCACCTCGCAGTCAGCAATACGTTGGAGCACTGACTTTAAGAGACCGAGCGACGAGAGAGATGGAGGTGGTTTTCAAGGCGGAGAGCTTGCTGAGCGCCGATCATCCCATGACAAGACGGGCCAGGCAGTCCAGTTCAAATACCACTCAAAGAGCAGGAGTGGATGCAAGCGCGGCGGCGGGAGGAGGGGCAGGGGGAACATCAACATCAGACGCAGCAGCAAGAGGAGGTGGAGGAGGAGAAGGAGGAGGAGGAGGAGGAGGAGTTGCGGGGATTGCAGACGGTCAATCAGTGGGCAATGATGGAGGCAGCAGCGTGGCTATGGTGGACTCTTCGTGTGCGGAGAAGCGGCCTGCGCTTGCCTCTCTATCTGTGAGGGACAATGATGGTAAAGGGGTGGGAAACCGAGACAAGGGTGTTTATACCTCTCAGCCGTTGACAATGCTGGAGAAGCAGGCGTTGTTGCCCTCGGCTGCTGAGTTGAAGTTGAAAATGACGAACACCAACAAAGGGGGAGGAGGGGGAGGAGGAAGAGGAAAACGAGGCGGGCCTCCTGTGGTGAAGAAGAGCCCCTTGGACACTGTTCCTCCATCGTCTACGGATGATGGTTTAAGGAAAAGGGTGGGGAAGCAGAGGGGAAGTGGCTTAGTGATTGGTGCTGTGCAATCTGATGCTGCCGACGATTCTCGATCTTCGGAGAATCTTCTTGAGCAGAAGAGGGTGAAGCGGAGGAAAACTACTGCGACTGCAGTTTCTTCCAAGTCCAACATAGCCACAGCAGGCGGTGAACCAAAGACGTCTGCACCTGGGGAGGAGCTGGGAGCATGTAAGTTGGCAGTAGAGGCATCCGATCGGGCTTTAAAGGAGGTGGACAGACGGCCCACCAAGGTGTCGATCCCTTTGCCGAAGAGGACAGCATCCGGATTTGCTGTGAAAGCTCAGGCAGCTATGGCGAAGAAGACGACAGTTGTGGCAAAGATTGCTGTGCGAGTCGTTACAGGACGTGCTCAGGAGGCCTTACGGAAAGGACGAGCAGCGTCTCCGATCGGGAGCGGATATCAGCAGCATTCTGCGCATAATATGGAATGGCCAGAATTGACGGCAGACGGCGGAGTTGGGGTGATGGAGGAGGGAGGTGGGGAGCAATCATGCGCGAATGAGAGGGAGGGTCGGGAAGGGGATGAGGGGAAGAGGGAGGAGGAGGAGGGGAAGAGGGAGGAGGAGGAGGAGGAGGAGGAGGAGGAGGAGGAGGGGGAAATGGCAACCACAGGGCAAGTGAACTCTTTGCCTGTGAATCTGAAGGTGCCGTACCACGCTGCAATCGGGGAAGGGCTGGGAGGGCGTATGCATACGAAGAGGGGTGAAGGAACCTCCTCTACCTGTACAGAAGTATGTGTGGTAGGGGATTTGAAAACTGGGGGTGGAAGAACAAGTAAAGGCAAGGCCAGAGTGGAGAACCGGATGGGATCTTACGTGATGGCCAGCAACACACCCGGTAGCGCAGCTGATGGAAGACAATCAAGAAGAGGAGCCAAACGACCCCACGAAGCGGATGTAATGCTAACGGAGAGCAAGAACCGAGGCAGTAGCGTCAACCAGGCGGCGATCAGGGAGACTGAGTGGGTCAAGGATGCTGTCCCACTTGTTGAGGACCAACGGGAGCTAGGAAGCAGAGTGCTGAGAGGAGGAAGAGGGGCAGGAAGATGCGGAGGTGCTGGCACGAAGGAGGCCCGACAGAGCTGTGACTTCATTCCTCATAGTGTGGACTGGGGTGGTTGGCAGGACGGGCGTCAGTCAGAAGTTAAGCCCCATGGGAGGAAGCAAGTTATGGTGCCCGGAGGCTCTCGCTTGGGAGAAGGGGGAAAGAATCAAATCGCCGCCACGTCGGAAAATCAACGGCCGCTGGGCCGCGCAGAGGGTGGTAGCGGTGTTGCAGTGATTGAGAGTGGTGCATCTGGTGGAGTGTTGAGATTGAGTGTCAAAATGCCTCCCAATTCCAAAGGACCGGGTGAAAGGGTAAACCTTAGGTGCGATCATCCGCCGTGGGTGGAAAGAACGAGGCAGGCAACAGCAGCAATGACACCAACAGTAGGCAAGGGTGATGGTGCCAGGGGGGGAGGCACAGCTGCTGTTGGGGGGGGAGGTATTAGCACGCGCAGGGGTGCTGGCCGTGGCGGTGGTGGTAGGGACGGCACAGGCGAGGGTAGTGAGGGTGGCGTTTCCAGTCAGGGAATTAGCGGTGGAGGTGGAAGCAGCGGCAAGGGTGGCAATGCTAGCGGTGGTGTTAGCGGTGGAAGGAAGATGAGTGTCGCTAAGGGACCAGCAAGTAATCCGGAATCTTCTACGGAAGGATATGCAGAGAAGGAACCCTCGCTTCCCTCGCGTCTTCCCATGAAGCCTATACATGCGGTCAAAGTAGCAGATGATGCAAGGAATAGGAGAGAGGGAGGAAGGAAGCTTCCTGGGACCAAGGGATGCACACGGACCCCCAAAGTGCATCCCGGAAATGAAGCAGCGGGTGCCGAGGAATCAGCAGGAAACGGAGTATCCGTGCTTGCGAAAGAAGTCAAACGAGGGGCTAAGCAGAATCGAAAGCCGAAGGAGGCGGCTGCTGGTAGTGGGGTACGGAAGAGGGCTGCTGCTGATAGGATGGGTGGCAGGAAATCAGGTGCAGAGAGTGTAGCTCCTCCTCGCAAAACTCCACCGGAGACTCCTCCGGCAAAAGTTGAACCTAGGGAATCAGCGGAAGACCTGGTGACGGTTGCCAGTCTTTTAAAGACGAAGGTGGCGCTTGCCCGATCTGCGAAGGTGGTTCAGCCTTTCCTGGACCTAGCGGACGGCAAGGAAGGCGCCGCGGCAGCCAAATGGTGCATGACGTACTTGGCGGCTGCTAAACCGACGGTGATATTGGGGTTCCCTGGGACAGGGGGTGGGCGGAACGGCAACGGAGCAAAGGTGCAGTCACAGATATCGAAAATACTGAAGGTACCGAAAACGCCGAGGTTGCATGCACCCCAGGATCCTATGGATGCAGTGGGGATGGGGGGCGCAGGGAAGACGAAAAAGGAGGCAGAGCCAACTTGGGTGGGGAAAGGTGGGACGCAGGGAGCGCAGCGTAAGTGGGAGGATGGGAAAACGGGACAATCGTGTTGGGAGGCAAAGGCGCGGCAGTTGGAGTCTGAGAGTTTGGCTGTCGCGATGGCGGCGAAGGGCGCACGGTCGAAGAGGAAAGTGGGAAGTGGCTATCAAGTCATCGACGACGACGGCGCAGACGGGGAGGAGGTCGAAAGGGAGTTGGCATTTGAGGAGAGAGTGGATCATCATCCTCCCATTGTGAGGGGAAGGGGCAGCAAGGGAAAGGATGGGTGGAAAAACGATGGTGGTCAGGGAAGAGCAGTGAAGGCCTCTGTGCGCAACAAAGCTGCAGAAGAACAAACTGCGGTGGGCGAAGGCCGTTGCGGTGGTGCTGCTGGAGTTCATGCTGGAGGCAATCGTGTTGGAGTTCAGCATGCACCGGCAAAAAGGCGAAAAGGTCTGTGAGTGTGAGGTAGGCAAAATATGGGTGTTGTTTGTTGAATATGGTTTGGTGCAAGTCCCACTTTGGTGCATTGTCTGCTGAACCCAGCAGTAGAGACGGGGAGCGGGTAACGAGCTCTGCCTGATCGTGTTGTGGTTTTGGCAGAAAGGTCAGCCGGCAGCGGATGTGCGATAAATTAGCACAGATGGAGGGTCCAGGAGGGGTGTAAGGCAGGAAGTCGGAGGCGCAGACGTGTGCGAATCGGCGCAGACGTGTGCGAATCGGTTAAATCTTAGGCCCAGGAATGAATAGTTACGGAGAGGGTAACGAGCGCTGCGTGATAGTGTTGTGGTTTTTGCAGAAAGGTCGGCCGGCGGCGGATGTGCGATAAGTTAGCATAGATGGAGGGTCCAGGAGGGGTGTAAGGCAGGAAGTCGGAGGCGCAGACGTGTGCGAATCGGTTAAATCTTAGGGCCAGGAATGAAGTTATCTGTGGATTTCTGAGCTGCCTGTTCGTCCGTTGCGTCGCCGGATGCCACGTGTGGCGTGGAGGGCACCGCAATGGGGGCAGGCAGAAGGTAGATGGCCTGAGTGAATCATTTGCTCCATAATTGTGGCATGAGTTGTTAGAATGCGGGGGAGTCATCTGGGGTGGATGACGTGATCGGTGATTATACCTTTGACATGAAGCGGAGAGAGCTGGTGAAGAGGAGAGCTGTCGATGACCCTTGGTACAACAGACGGATCTCCGTATGGGCAAATTTCATGTTTGAAGAAGTTTCACATGTGCAAGTGGGGAAGTAAGGGGGTGTTCCTATCAGGGGCGGCGGTCGATCAGAAAGGACGCTAGAGTGTTTCGCAGTGATGTTGCGAAGGGGGGCTGCACCAGTGAAGTAGGCAAAGAGGGTACATGTGGGGTCCTCAGTCCTGGAAGTCGTGTGTCCGTCTCTCCTCGCTTTAAGCTGAAAAGCTCAAGCTTGGTCTCTGCCTTTGAATTACCGCTGGAGAAGCAGAGGGGCTGCAACACTGCAACCCCATTTGCGGCAGGCGGGGGGTGGCCTGATTAGTGTTTTCGATCCCCCCACCGACTTGGTGGCTATCGTCTCCCATCAAATATAACGGACGGTCGTTATCGCTGTATCTAGACCGAAAGTCTTACCCCAAAATACAGCCGTAGTGACCTTGCTACGTGCATTATACGCGGGGGTAGATGGCAGGGGTCTGACACAGCTATAGCGGTGTGTAGTTAGTGGCCATCGGTCCAAGTTCTGCAGCGGTCTGTGCCGTTTGATGAGCAGCTGGGTCATGTCGATCGTATCTCAAGGCCTAGCTTATCAGCTGCACCTACTTCCTTTGACTCACCTCATTGTCCTGAAGCTACAGTTTCCATTACAAAGGAAAAAAAAGGGAACAAGAGGTACAAGACGACAATTGGATAGTATTGTCCTTGCTCAAAGTGCATTCGGATTGATCGAGGGGAATACCGACTCCCACACTTTTTGGAAAATCGGGCATTCGGAGGGATCCCTCTGAGGTGTTTCCGTATACATTGCATGAATCTGAAAAGGTATCCTAAAATGGAAATGACCGCCGCATGTAAACGGTCGAAATATGCAAGGTATCCTAAAACGGAAATGACCACTGCAATTTATCTGCATGCAAAAAACGGTCGTCGAAAACGTAGCTACCCGGCAATGCCACTGGCATGGCAACCAGTCCACCCGAATAGCAACGCCATTCATCCGAATAGGTTGTGACCCAGCTCAGTCCTCTCGTACTACCGTCTTCGTCCGAAGAGAACGCCCTGTCATTATAAGTTATAACTGCATTTGGCACAGCTTTCAGTCCAGATGCAGCGATAATGAGCGGGCATTTTATTCGGGCGAAGACGGTAGGGATGGCTTCTCTCAGTTCCCTTCGAATCGCCAATGGGAGATGAACCTCGTCTCACGGCGTTTTAATTGTTATGTTGGCCACTAGCCCGCCCGAGCCTGTTGTCGCTCAGTATACGATGCTACATATACACTACGGTAGTGGCACTTTACGTATCTGTACGCAGCACGGACTCTTCCTTCAACTTGTTTCAACGCGACTATATCCTAAAACGGAAATGACCACTGCATGTGAAATGGTCAAAAAATGCAAGGTTTCCTAAAACGGAAGGTATTTCAAAACGAAAATGACCACCGCATGTAAAACGGTCAAATAATGTGAGGTATCCTAAAATGGAAATGACCACCGCATATAAAATTTTGCCGAAAGATGGAAGGTATGCAAAAATGGAAATGACGACTGCATTTCATAGCCTCCCCAGCATGAGTGGGTCCACATTTGTAAGCAACGCTGGACCTGTTTCCAGCTATTATAACCCCTTTTTTTCTTTTTTTCCCTCTTTAAAACAAAAAAAAAGGAAATGACTACTGCATGGAAAATGGTCAAAAAATTTGCAAGGTACCCTAAAACGGAAATGACCACTGCATGGAAAACGGTCAAAAAAATTGCGAGGTTTCCTAAAATGGAAATGACCAGTGCCATGCAAATCGGTCAAAAAAATTGCAAGGTTTCCTAAAACGGAAATGACCACTGCCATGCAAAATGGTCGGAAAAAAAAATGCAAGGTATCCTAAAATGGAAAATGACCACCGCACGTGAAACGGTCGAATAATGCGAGGTATCCTATAATGGAAATGACCACTGCATACAACACGCCCGAAAGATGCAAGGTATCCTAAATTGGAAATGACCACTGCGTTTCCTCCTTGCTGTTGTCACCTCCACTCTCCCCAGCGTGAGTGGATGCACGTTTGTGAGGGACGCTGGACCTGGTTTCCAGCTATTATAATGCAATCGTCCCCTTTTTTCTTTTTTCTTTTGTTCCCCCTTTATTATATTTTAAAACCCAAAAATAAAGAAGGAAATGATGACCACTGCATGTAGAGGGGTCTACGCATGCCTGCCTGCAGGGTCGTGTGGGCGGCAGCACATTTGCTGGGTCTTGTAAGAGGACTGCTGCCTCCTGCAGGTCGTGAGATTCTATAGAATCTATACCTTTGTTCAAGTGTGTTGTCAAGCTGTGGCTGGCATATTGGTCCACTAATCCCAAAACCAGTCCAGTAGCATCAGTACAAACTTGCCATGCGTGCACATAAGTCTGCTGCGCTAGATCTCGCTAAATCTCGAAACCAGTGGACGAAAAGAACAAACTTGCTGTGCTTGCACATAAGGCTACGGTAGAAACATGAGGATAATGATGATGACAACGAAAAAATGACGTCCCCTACGTATTACTAGCACTATTACAGCTACTACGTCCGACGGGTCTTCCGTCCGTTCATCTTTTCCGTATCGCGGTACGAATGGAGTGATGTGCGATGTGACAGATTGCCTCCACACATGACCTCCAGGTAAGTTCACCAGTGGTGAGGTCGTCGCGTAGTTGAGTTCGAGGTAGAGGTAGCGGGTGGTCGTATGCTTGTAGTTCCTGCTGCTAGTGATGCCAGGTAGTAGCAGAAGGTAGTAGTAATGGTGGTGGTGATGCTGGTGGTGGCGGTGGTGGTAGCAGTAGGTGAGCTGAACGCGGAGGTGGTAGCAGTAGGGTTGAAACCACACCTTGAAGACAGCAGCGGCAGCGGCGGTGGGAGTGGCAGCAGCAGCAGCGAAATAGTAGTAGTAGTAGTAGTCGAAGAAGAAGATGCATGGTGTTGTTATCGTGGAGGGCGTTCGGAGTGGGTGGTGGTGGCAGTAGTACTACTAATAGTAGAAGAAGAGTGTTTTGCACAAGTGACGAATGCCAAAGAAGAAGAAGAAGAAGAAGAAGAAGAAGAAGAAGAAGAAGATGCATGGCGCTGCTATCGTGGAGGGCGTTCGGAGTGGGTGGTGGTGGCAGTTTTACTAGTACTAGTACTCGTACAAGTCGAGGAAGAGCGTTTTGCACAAGTGATCAATGACGTTGCTCCTGTGGAGGGTGTGGTTCTGAGTTGGTCGTGGCGGTGGTGGTGGCAGTAGTACTACCGCCTTTCCCCGAAAACAATGCGTCCTGGTAATGAGTGTATCCAAGCTATCTTCCTGGTCCACTGCATGCAGTCAAAATGAGGGTGCGTTGCGGTCGCGGGAAGACGGTAGACGGTAGACGGTAGACGGTAGTAGTATCATGCAGGTGATGCATGACATTGCTTCTGTTGTTGAAGGATATCGTAATTGGTCGAGAGGCTGATGTCTGTGGGTTGCCAGTCCATTCATTTGCAAGAGGAGGGGGGGGGGGGGGGGGGACTGATCATAATTGGTGCAATTTTGGCTGCCCATGATGGATGCCGGGGTAAGAGAGACATCGCGAGAATCAGTTGCATTGTCGAATGGACACGGTTCGGAGGTTGAGTGACTTCATCACTTGTTATTTGCAATGTGGTCGCCAAACTCCAAGAGTCGGCGGTTTCCGTCCGCTCAATGCGATCGAAAGTAGTCTATCGACTTGCAGACGTGGTGGAGACTGGTAGACAAACTCTGCATTATGCAAAAATAGGGACCAAAAAAAAAAAAAAAAAAAAAAAAAAAGAAGGAAAAAAAAGGGACATATGGGCAAGTAGTAAGTACTGTTTGATTGATTTGGTGAAGGCATTGCTGGTCCTTTGATTGATTTGAGTAGGGGAATTTTTGTGAATACTCCAATTTCTGGAGCTTTGATTGATTGGCTTTTTCAAATTTTGACATTTTTTTTTTTGTCTTTCATCACATGGTTCTCTGACTTCGGGATCTGAGAGTTGACCTCTAAATTAACAAATTGATTTAGGTGAATAATGAATTTATTAAATTTTATTTAATTCAGATTCGAGATGCACCTCCCTATCTTCAAGTGTGAATTCCTTTTGGTTGCGCAGAGCTCTGCTTGAATAGGTAATTAAATTAAATTAATAATTAATGTTGCTTTATCCGGGGGAGGAAGACGTTAAGGTAGTCGTAGATGATCGACAGCTGGCGACTTAACGACAAAAAAAATCCTGTTTGTCTACATCTGCGTTTTCCATTTTCTCTTCTTTCTTCTCTGTTTGCTTTTTCTTTGTTTTTCTTAATTTACGTTTCCCTTATGGGTGCTGTATTCAGCTGCCCATATCTTGTTAAGGCACACGTAAAAAAAAAAAAAGATAAAAAAAAAAAAAAGATTGACAGACAAGATGTGAGCTCAAATTAATTGCCTGTTTTGGGGTTCTCTTTGTGTACAGGTTCAGGTGAAGGATCTCGGAATCCGAATGCGAGACGCCTTTGAGCAAGTATTCATGGAGGGTGCAACCAAA